ACCAATACTGGTGAACCCCTCGCAACTTTTCACTTGCCGTGGTTCTCTTGGCTGCGAGTAATACAGGACGGCACACACATGTGTGATGTCAATATACCATGCATTGCGGAAGTTTGGCAGCAGCACGTCAATAACTCCATGGTTGCCTCCAACATGAATATGTGTGTATACCTATATTGAACAATAACCCAAATCACGACAATGTATTCCAAACCTTCAACTCACAGATTATGCAAGCATGGATTCAACCTGTCTAGCTGTCTAGCTGCCGTGACACACAAAAGTACTCAAAATGCCGTTCAGTGGCAAAACCCATCACCCATCAGCCCATTCATTACAACTGCCATGCCAACACAACCGCAAACCTATGCAAAGCAGGCTGGTCCGAAATGCTGCTGATGCTGCTGCTGGAGCTTGCACAAGTTGGCGCCACGCATGTTTTCAGCCAGACAGGGAAACGAGTTTGCCACCCCCTGGTCGCACAAACAGTTCCACCTTATCTTTTGTAATATACTAGATTGTGTGTTAAAGCCACAAATATATATATGTGTGTGTGTGTGCGTGTGTCTTTACTACCTGAGAAAGGAGAGGACGAAAGCCAGCGAGAGACCAATATGGTAGTGCAAGACTGCGAGGAAAAAATAGCGGAGCACTTATTGTTGAATGCCTGTAGCTTTCGTGGAGCTTGTATCAACGTGGAGTAGATCAAGATCGGAGCACAGCATGAAGTGTTGAATGTTTTAGGTTTTCTCGATTTTCCTGGCGCGGTGCTCTCTGGAGCGTCCCTGTTTGGTGGTCTACTTGAGAATCCGTGTAAAAATAAACGTTAGTGAAGACCAGGAGAAGGATGCCCGAAAGGTGGTTTTTGGTTGTTTTGAAATTGTGTTTCGGGCATCGTGCATCAACGCGAAGCCCTATAAAGAGCAGGGCTGGGAGAAAAAAGTAAAAGGAGAGCACTCATTCTTGAATGGTTGTAGTTTTCGTGGAACTGGTATCACTGCGACGTAGATGAAGATCGGAGCACACCACGAAGTGTTGAATGTTTTGAGTATTCTTGATTTGCTTGGTGCGGCACCTTCTGGAGCGTCCCTTGTTGGTGTTCTATTAGAGAATCCGTGCAAAAATAAACGTCAGTAAACACCAGGAGAATGATGCCCGAAATGGTTTTTGTGGTTGTGTTGAAATGTGTTTCGGGTATCGTGCATCAATGCGAAGCCCTATAGAGAGCAGGGCTGGGAGGGAAAAGTAGCAGAGCACCTATAGTTGAAAGCTTGTAGTTTCGTGGAGCTGGTATCACTGCGACTGAGATCAAGATCGGAGCACAGCATGAAGTGTTGAACAGTTGCAGCTTTCTTGCGGCACTCTTATCCCCAAGCCTCTACCTCGCCCAACTGGACATGCTCACATCGTTCGCACCCAGAGCGTTCACTCTTCGTTGCTTGGTCCTTCTTGGTATGATCAGAGCTACACAGTCCCTATAGAAAAATTGTCTCCCAGCCCCCTTCATGATGCTAATGATGCACTACTCGGCGTCCATTGCATCACTCGCATCACCAGACCCCCGTTTTCACTGCTTTTCTGACCCTCGCTTTGGAGCGCTCTCCCCCAGCAAGCTCCGGGTTCACCCTTTCAAATGGCCTCCCCCCCACACCCCCTTAACTCACTTCGTTCGCGGCTGGCTTTCGTAACATAACATATACATATATATATATATACATGTCAAAAAGGCTACCGATGTTTAGAGTCATCAACTCGGAAGGAGACCTGCCCTTTCACAAAAGGGAACTGTGTGCAGAAACTGAGACATGTCAAGGGAAGAAGGTAGTCCAGTTGATCCAAACATCCCTGGATTTAGTGACGGGGCAGTTGGCCGACATACCAGATACATTATGTCAACAGCATCCGGTGGCACAAAACACGGGAATTGTGTTGCGACACCTGCACCCAAAAGTCGAGTCTAACTGCTGAAGCATCCTGGCAACCCAGAGCCGCCAGGTTGGAGGGCAACTGCTCCGAAGATCTAGCCAAAAACAGTTCCCTAAGGTCCCTGGACAGCTTTCGCGAACCTGACTAGGTTCACCCTGTGGGCAGACGGGATCTTTTGACAGCCCGCTGTACCTGCTTATCAAAGCTACACACATGTTCAACCACGACAAGGTGGACAGCCATCCTCAAGTGACAGCCGTCCTGAAGTGAACTAACCAGCCAGGAAACAAGCAAGCAAACCAACAACAAAACAAAAACGGACCCTTTCAAAAGTGAACGCGAAAATAGATCCTTTAAGGTTCACCAAATCAATTGCACTGATCAGGGTCAAACCATGGCGAGCCTTACCCATGTCGGTGAGAGGACGATCAAAGAACGGCTTCATTGAAGGCAAAAACTGGAGTGCGGGCAGTGATGTGCTTTATGTAGGCCTTGAGTCAAACCGAGCGAAGTATGTAAGTAAGTCATGCCTCCAACCTGATAGCGATGGCCTCCAACCTACTAGCGATGGCCTCCAACCTAAAGAACTCTTCACATCACATCTTGGACCCACTTTGGCACTATGGGGAAGACAATAAAGTTTATGAGGTCTCCCATGGGACTTTGCCGAGATTTGAAGTGAGCTTTGTCAAGGCCCTGAGTCTGCAACCGGCTCATCCGGGACAGTAGGGGTAACCTGAGCACAATGTCCATCACAGTCTCCGCATGTTTCAGTGCGGCTCAGCAGGGGTCAGAAGTGTGTGAGCAGCACGCTGCAGTTATTTGTCTTTTGGTGCAAGTTCTTTGCGGGCCTTCTTCTTGACAACTTGCGCTGTGTTTGCTCGCTCTCGCTCTGCCATGATTTCCGAGTACCTACACAGTTGAGATTGTTCAAACTAGGTTAGCACAGCGTGGATCGACGCTACTAGGAGCAAAGGGCATCGCTACTAGGAACAAGGGCCTTACTACTAGGAACAAGAAGCTAGTAGAAACAAGAAGTTACTATATAGTAACAAAGGGCATCGCTACTAGGGGCAAGGACGCTACTAGGGGCTCCTGGCCTTACTACTAGGAACAAGAAGCTAGTAGAATCATGACATCGCCTTCGGTACATCGGGCCCAGGTACCACTCAAACTGTGGCAGGCCTGACGTTGTCGACGGCACTGAATGTTCTCAAGCACTGAACGTCTGAGTTCAAAACGCAAACGGCATGCGGGCACTCTGGTCGTTGAAAATTTTCCTGAAAAGAATGCATCTGTGGTTTGACAAGAACGTAAATAACACTTTCAACCGCATCGTGTCCGGAGTCGGGCAACCGCCCGCTGCCACCAGCCTTGGTTGCCCAAGGCATTGTCAACTTGGCTCTCTGCAGATGAGAAGCCTATACTATACATTGCAAATGATCTCATGATTTACTCATCATCTCACAGCCAGATTTAGAAGGCCCCAGAAGGGTATGATAGGTATGATCATGGATCAACAGTTCTCCCAGGCGTTCACGCTGCCAAGTCCCTGGCTGAAGGCACTACGGGCGTGATGGAAGCCATATTCTCACTTGATCCCTATGCCGTACGCTTTCCCAATTGCCAACATGGCTGCAGTTCCTAGATATGTGGCTGGGTGCAATCACGCAAAAAGTAGGACGAGGTTAAACCTTGCAATTGGATGGAGGGAGGGAAGAACGGACAGACGGACGGACGGACGGATGGATGGGGACGAATGGTTGTTTGTGTTGACCTGTCAGCCTGTCCATCCACCCATCCATCCATCCATCCATCCATCCAGCCGCTCCTCCACTCAGATCACCAACCATGACTTGCATCACCGGCATCCTCAACGCCCACAAAGGCGCCCCAAAAACAGACCGTTTGGCCCACCCTTCAATCCCTCTAAAGTTCCCTTGCGGAAACGTGCGCACCCAAGCCCTCGACCCAGCTGGGGACACCCTAAGCAAGACGCATGCAATTACATGTTCACAAAAGGTGAGCCCCCTTTTCCATCGAAAGCTTGCATGAAGCGCAACCTCGCAAGAGAGAGAGAGAGAGCGCGCAAAAGCAGTTTGGCAATGGCCCCAGAAGAGAATGCACATGAATGCACAATAGTATCACAATAGAAAGAGTTGGGCTTTAGTCGTGCTGAGCATTTCGACAAACCATGCGAAGAGTCGTCTGGTTAATTTGAAAGCCATTGCCGTTTGGAATCTCAAGCCGGCAAGGTCAGTTGATGTTATTTTTCAAATGCATTGCATTTCCGAGAGGAAGGGACAAGGTGAACTAGCTGCGGCAAAGTGCCTTGACTCACTTTGTTCGCAATATGGCAATATGGAACTTCAGCCGGTCTGTCGGCTGGCTTTCTTGAGTGATATTCCATTGTATGGATCTTGCAATGGTTGCACCCAGGCAGTGATCTGACCTCGAAGCCTCTTTGTTTGCAATCGGAAGGTGGGGAAGTGATAGCAAATAACACAGAAAAGGAGAATGGGTCGATCTCCACCTTCGGGAGTCGTTGTCAGCCTTGCTCAACAAATATCCAATCACGACGGAGGCAATTCTACCAAAGCAAACAGCTTATCAACACTGTCAGCACCACTCTGCCAAGCTGGCTGGCTACAAAAGGTGTGCAGGTCTGAGCAGGGAGTCCAGTTGTCTCATCCATTTCGTGATGAGATACTTGAACAGTTCGTAAAGTTGTGCGACTCTGTATGTTCCCACAGTCACCTATATAACTTGATTGAATGCCTCACCACATCCCGAGCATCAACTGCAAGCCATCCATTCACTCACTGGACAAATTGAAATTTGAAGGCCCAAAGTAGGTTTGGTCACATAGTGACATAGTGGAAGCAGATGAGAACCCCTTCGCATCTCAGTGCCTCCTGAAGCCTGAAGTTGGCAAACACGCCCAAAAATTGAAAACCTCTCTACAAGAGCAAGCAATGGGCAGCAAAGCCTCTCCAGCGCAGAATGGGACAAATCACCGGAGCCTTGGACAACAAGGATGCCAAGCACTGTGCACCTTAGTTTTCCACCACTTTTGGGAATGCTACTTACACCAATATAACTATGTTGGTGTGTATTATCACCATACAACTTGGAGAAGCATGTTGCGGTCAGGGTGCACAAACGGTCCTTTTGTTCAAAGTGGTCGAATCTGAGACTCAAAACCACCGCTAAAGGGACTACTCTGTACCTAAAAGCCGTGCCATGTGTCAATTACACTACGGGGTTTTGACCTAGTCAACTATCGCATGGTTGGATGCTTCAACTCTTTGTATCTCTTGAGCAGTTTTCAAGCAAGTGAAATGGTCCACTCCAGATTCATTGGACCTGGCAGGTGGCCCGGCTGGGGAGCAACTTTAGCCTTATGTAGATGATTCAATGACCTGTCAACAAAGCCAAGCAATCAACAAGTGACACTCAACGCCCAGTGACACCGCCACAGGGGCTTTCTTTGGTTGTCAATGAGTTGGTCGCTGTGGGCTCAATTTGGAAAGAGGAAAGCTCTCGCCTCTATGCCCTCTATGCCCTCTATGCGAAGCGTGATCGTAATGGCCTCCAACCCAATAGCGATGGCCTCCACCTAGTGGCTTCTTGTTACTAGTTGTAGTAATGGCCTCCACCCACATGCAAACCAAACAGCCACAGCCTCACCCTCGCACTCTCACCCACATCAGAATGTATCTTATCGCTGCCGTGTTACTGCCCCGGTCTCGACAAGTGCCTTTGAGGTCCAATCACGTTGCCTCCGTTTATTTCTTCCCCCGAAACCAAAGAATTGTTCAATTGGTCTCAACGCGGACTTTTGGAATGCTTCACGAACTGAAGCTACTTATGCCACAAATGCCACAGCAAGTGCGCTCAAGAGTCTGAAAACTGCAGCACGCTACTTGGCAGAAACTTATACAAAATATGTGGCCACCTTGTAGCCATGTCAAGCTTCAGAAACACGTTTGATCTCCTCTGCCATGCTAACCAACCATGCATCGGCATGTGGCCGACTGACCAATTGGAATCCAATGGGAACCTTGCACAGCTTATGGCCGGATCGCTTCTCTGTCTGTCTGGAGCTTGGACTGTCCATAGCCACTATTGGCTGCACACCGTCCCCAGAACTAGAATAACAAGACACGTGCAAGTTAGGAAGCTCAATCGATCCACAAGGCACGCTCACAGAAGGTAACTGAGCTAGAATGCTGAAGTGTGGCCAGTAAAAAAAGTCAGCATAAGATCGTGGTTCAGCTGGCTTCCCAACTGAATCGTTAGTCCACACAAACCGTTCAGGTGTGTACGCATCCGTGCCCACAACCTCATTCCGAAGAAAAGGCAGGGTCGGGCTTATTGGCATAAGCACGGCATCAACACCATTTGCATCAAAAAATGCATTCCACACTGTGCGGCACCACTGCCTGCGAATCATCACATCAGGGTGGAAAGCAGTTTCTTTGTTTGCCAAAATTTGGCGGTAGAGACTGTAGCTGATGTCTGCAAAGTCTTCAGGAAATGCCGCTCGCAAGGGTACCACAACAGACGAAGTATTACTCCCACTATACTGTTTGAGCTTCTCCTGCAGGCTGTGGAAGGAAGCGCGCACAGCATCACTGAGAGCTGGCTCCAGTGGCTCTGGCCGATTTGGGCACATTTCTGAAAGGAAGGTCAATCGAAATTGCTTGGGCGGCGGTGAGGTTGGACTCCTTTGCTTTTCTGAAACTTCTGAAACTATCCCAGTCTGCCGTTCAAGGACCGAATTCAGGAGCGCCAAGTCTTCTGCAAACTTGCAAATAGGGCCTATGACCTTGAAAACATGTGGGTCTATGAGATTTGCACTACTGAGGTCCATCATTGGGGCACAAAGAGTCTTGAGCCCATCACTTGCTCCTTGCTTATTTTTTCCAAGCCAGTTGTGCAAGGGTTCATTCCAAAAGCTTGTTGGCACTCGTCCGTATGTTCCTTGCATTCCGAAAACTCCACAGAATGCCGCAGGAATGCGTATCGACCCAGCCACATCACCCCCAAGCTCTACGGGAGTGTGTCCACAAGCGACTGCCACACACGATCCACCGGAAGAGCCTCCACAGGTCCTTTGGCAGTCATGCGGGTTTGCTGTTGGTCCGAAGGTATTGTTGAAGGTCTGCCAATCTTTGCAGCGCGCAGGCACATTAGTCTTGCCAAAAATAATGGCACCTTCATCAATAAGCCGCTGAACAGCTGCACAGCTGGCTGTCGGTACATCTTCCTCTTGACCATCGACTTGGAGACCACGGATCCCTTCCACAGTTAGTTCCTCTTTCACGGTCATTGGAAGACCATGCAAGCGGCCCCACAATTGGGACCCTGTGCTCTTAATCCAGCATTGGTCTGCTGCAGCAGCCCGGGACCGAGCGGCTGCGTAGTGTTTTACAACCACCGCATTGATGTGCGATTCAGATTCGACCTTTGCGATAAATGCTTCCAGCAATTCGGAACTTCTAAGTTTGCCCTCCCGAATGAGTTGGCAAAGCTTTGTGGCGGATGTGGTGTAGACCCACGGTGGGACGTCCATGGCAAGCGATGCACATCAAGCTTGACACTTGCGGTTCTGTAACGGGCCTATCAAGGTCCGAAGAATCCTACGACTCGTTTCAGAATTCTGAGTTCATCGGATCAGATTTGGACAAACAAGAGCACTTTAGAAAGAGAAAAAGTGCGCCTTTCCAAGAACATGTACAGTAAAAGGGGCGCCTATCCAAAAACCACAGCCAGTTCTGCAGAAAGCTCGCCTGTCAGGACAAACAGGCCTTCCTACACCCTCCAAAACAACACGCAGTTCATTGTTACAAACATGAAGTTTCATTAGAATGTTTCTTCCAACAAATTTCAGCTACGGATCGGTGAGGTTAGACATGTTGCAAGTCCAGTGGGTGCTAGTGTAAGCCGCCAAACGCTACAAGGCACAGCTGGATCTAATTGTGAGGTTCACTTAGTGGCCATGATGCAAGTTGCCTTTGTTCACCTTTATTTCATGCCTTCTCGCTCAGTAGCCGGAAGCAAACAAGAGACACTGGATAAACCCTAAAAGCGAGATTGGACAATGAAAAAGCGTAAAGGCACTTTAATATTTAAGGAGTCCCTATAAAACAGAACAGGTGACCACAGTAGTGCGCATTTTGCGCATTGTCTGCCTATTTATATATGTTGTACCGCTATCTGGTACTACTATCTCATTGTTGTGCTAATGTAGTTTTGGTTGTTTTCCGTTTGTTGGTAGAAAAATGTTGTATCAACATATTAATGAACTATATGTGCAAATTGATCATTCATAGGCTATGACAAAAGCAAAAGAGAAACTGAAAACATGAACATGTATATATATATATATATGCATATGTGCATGCATATGTAGATGTATATGTGCGTGATGTTATTAACTATACAATAACTGATGTTAGCTTTTGTTTTTCCCGAGAGCGCCTGCGAAGGGTTCTTCGTAAAAAGACATCTGCAGAACTACGTCTCATCTACATCTTCACATCTTCACCTCTGCACATCCACATTCTCACCTATATCTCTGCTCATCTTCACATCTACATTCACAACTGCACATCTACATCTCTGCACATCTTCACATCCTCACATCGACATCTCTGCTCATCTTCATCTTCACACATCTACATCTCTGCTCATGTTCACATCTGCACATCTCTGCTCATCTTCACATCCTCACATCTACATCTCACATCTTTACCTCTCATCTACATCTCACATCTTCACCTCTCGCTCTTCTTAACTTTCTCTCTTAAGGCCGGGGGCAGTGCCGCCGGACCGCCACGAAACGCAACCCTCTGCGGAGATCGTGCGTGTCGGATGAGCGAAATGCAGGCGAGAGTGCGATTTGGTTTTCTCCGGCGCAACCTTCTGCGGAGATCGTGCGCGTCGAGGGCGCGAAATGCAGGCGAGAGTGCGATTTGTCCCGGTCGCGGGCAACCCTCTGCGGAGATCGCGCGTGTCGAGGGCGCGAGGTGCAGGCGAGAGTGCGATTTCCCGCAACCCTCTGCGGAGATCGTGCTTGTCGAATGCGCGAAATGCAGGCGAGAGTGCGAGGTGGTTGTGTCCGGCACAACCCTCTGCGGAGATCGCGCGTGTCGAGGGCGCGAAATGCAGGCGAGAGTGCGATTTGTCCGGTCCGGAGCAACCCCCTGCGGAGATCGTGCGTGTCGAGGGCGCGAAATGCAGGCGAGAGTGCGATTTGTCCCGGTCCGGAGCAACCCTCTGCGGAGATCGCGCGTGTCGAGGGTGCGAAATGCAGGCGAGAGTGCGATTTGGTTGCGTCCGGCGCAACCCTCTGCGGAGATCGTGCGTGTCGAGGGTGCGAAACGCAGGCGAGAGTGCGAGTTGGTTGTGTCCGGCGCAACCCTCTGCGGAGATCGTGCGTGTCGAGTGCGCTTTACTCCGGAACACCCACACATCTGCACATATGATTTTTTCTCTCTATTTGGGCCTCCAAAAGGCAACCAGGTCTCCAAACAAAAGAGAGTCAGAGACCAATGGCAGACTGCAATGGATGAGAGTCAGTTGTCCACTGCTGCAATGACTGACAATACTTGAGAGATCGATGAAAATGTTGTGACATCGATGACAAGGTTACTTCGATGACAATGTTGCGACATCGATGACAATGTTGTGACACCGGTGACAATGTTGTGAAATGCAGCTGGGTGCACACTATACTGAGTCTGGCTGGACAGCTGCATTGGACTGCATGTTTCCTCGCCCTTTTAGATCCCTTTATCCGTTAGTCACGCATCATCCACTTTGCCTCTCTACCTTAACCTGTTATTAACAATCGTTCGCGCACCGAAATGTTTAACAAACGGTTGCCTAACTTGCATTAATGTGTATTGTTTTCTTGTAGGTTGTGTGTGTATGGATTCAACGGCAAAAAATATTTTTTGAGGGGTGGTGTGTGCACAGTGCTCCAAACCTTTGAACGCAACATGCAAGTTGTGACTCACTGATTTTCTCCATCGAGCGAAAGGCTGACTGTTAGTCAACCTCGGCAACGTGAGCGTCTTCCTCACGTGGCTCTTCTTCCTCGCCTTCATTTGGTTCGGCTTCGCCGAACTCACCTTCAGGCACAGCTGTTGCTGCAGGATCCGGTCCAGCATCAGCCAACAGAGCTCTCTTCATCGTTTCCTCGATAGGAAATCGAAAATATACAGGGGTGTGTTTGTTGAGGTCTTGAGGTTTTGTGTATTGAGGCTTGTCTATTGAGGCAGGTGGCAACCATAGCCAACACCTCTTGTTTGGACTTTTTCTTTTCGATCTCCACCCTCGCCGCTTCCTCAAATAAACGCAATGAAAATGCACTGAACTAACAAAAACATCTCAAAAAATCAGAGATGCGTGGATCTGCAATTTCTGCCAGCTGGTCATCGCTGATTCCATCGGTTGGTTTGACCTTTGAATCATTTATCAGTACAAATCATGAACTAAGACTAGCAATGGTGCTAAATCTCAACAAGACCTAGAACATGCCTAAGCTTCGAACTGTCAGCATTTCTCTCTTGTTCAGCTTGATTCCCCACATGCCCTTTTTGTGATACAGGTACTTGTACGCACGCTCGGATGTGGACAGTCTGTCAGCAGCTGGCCTTTTCATCGGGGGGGGTGTTGGTTCGTCTGGGCTCTCATCTTTTGGACCTGCGGTTTCGAGTGCTGCAGCGGGGCGCTTCATACTCACAGTGACACCCTCAGTGGCTATGGTTTCTTCCGCGGCTGCGGGGCGCTTCATACTCTGCTTTGGCTTTGGCGATAGTGCTTTTGGTTTTGGTTTCGGGCTCCCCTTGGCTTTCGACTTTGGAGCTGGGCTTGGTTTTGGTATTGGTTTCACGGGTTCTCCGACAGCGTCATCGTCTGACAACTTATCAACACAAGGCAGCTCCATCAAAATGCGCAAGACAAAATGTGACTTGGCTTGAACCGCTGAGATGACAAATCAAGACCTGAAACGGACAGTGGGTCTTGAGAAAATCAAAAATCTTCGCCACACAAAGCATATAAATGCAGTAGCTCATTTGCGCAGGCTGCCTTTCGCGAGCTGCCAAATGAATCCGCGAAGAAACTTATTCCAACCTGAATATATCAAAATGGATGGAACAGCAGGGCCTAAAGCGCCACTTGACTCTATCATCCAATGCGCACCGCTGTTGCGGCAGGAGTCTCAAGAGCACACGTGAGCCAATATTTTGGCTTGAGTGGTGTCACAATAGCTGGTGATGGGTTCAACTTCACCTGCCACATGTCTGCGTTGAATTAGTCTGCTTTGTTTGCGTTTCCCCTCCCCCACAAAAGAAACATTGCAGAAATGAAACAGAAACATAATGCCTCAAAAAGCATTTGCGCCCAGTCGGTGCATGGGATCTTCTTCAAATTTCCAGCCATCGTTGCCCCAAGCATTGTGGCTCTCATGTTCTGACGCTCGACGTCTGGGGATAGTGCCTTTGGTTCAAAGGCATTAATCTTGGTCTTGGGCACAGGCAGGTGCCGGAAAGACATTGGATGTCCAGAAGCCTTGAATGAAGAGAGAACAAAAATGAGTCCAATCACAAAAGAGATTCAATCTTGAACACAACACAATCCTCTCAGCTTTGAAACATCAAGCTTTGGGTTCACATCGTGATCCACCAACGACAGATCAGTAATCCCACTGGTTCGGGTTGTATCGCAGGCTATCTCAGCCAAACTCTTGATGGTCTTTGTGTTGGCTGCAGGGTCTACAAAGACCATGAGGCTCAGATCGGAGGACAGGTGCCAGGGGGTCAGCGTGTCACCGGAAGACTTCGCCACTCCTGCAAACAAATCTATTACATTGAACATCATGAAAAACAAAACTCTTCCCGCCTACTGGGGTTGGACCAAATGAACCAAGGCCATAGCCAAATAGCTCGCAAGCACTCAGGGACTCAGCTGCGTCTCCCCGATTGGCGAGCCAGATTTGGAACTCCTTCGTCAAAACAACCTGGATTTTGTCTGCCATAGTTGCTTTGCAACTCGCAAACGTCCTTAGAATAAACAAATGCTAAACACCATTCAACGTTGTTTGTTCACAAATAAAGATTGACTGAACCAAATGCACAAACTCCAGTGAATCGGCCCTTGCAGCCAATCAGCTCGATCGAAGCTTCAAACTCGGCCATCGACAATGAAGCGAGTGGAGCAGCAACTCGACTCACATTGAGCGGTTGCTCGTTGATAGGGAAATCCGGCCTGCGCCGGGTTCGAGGCGGTGTGGGTTTTGCTGTTGCATCGGTCGTTGACCCGGCAGCTGGAGCCGGTGCTCATTCCGGAGCCAGAAAACTGATCAGTGCAGACTCATTGAACTCTTGGATGGTCTTCTGCAAATCTGCACCGTTGCTACCAATGGATTCAATGACCGCGTCAGGTAACCTCACACTTCACTGCTTTCTGGAAAATCACTTCCTTAAAGCCCTAGCAATAGAATGCACACACACACCTGGTTTTGGACCAAAAAACTTTACTTTGCCATTGGCAATCACAGCAAGTGTGAGATCCGGCACTTTTTCCGGCGATCCAGACTGAGGCCGTGTGGCCGGGCCAGCTTCTGAGCATTTGTCCCACCATTCCTGAGCTGCCAGTGGTTGGCACCACTAGTTGAAATTGCGGTTTCTTGTTGAAACTTGCTGAACTAAGATCTGGTCTGAGTTTATCTTACTGGCCATGAACTTGTGACCAACACTGGAATCTGCATCGTCATCTGTCATGTAAGACACAAAATGCCAGCTGGTGGTTGCTGCAGAACTCAGCTGCTTGTTCTGCAGCTCCCACGCTGCCTTCGGCCATTCCATGTACCTGTAACTTTTGCAGTTGGAAACATATTTGATGATTCAACAGCACTTGCAAAGTTTCTGCAAACCAGAAACCCTTTTGTTGTGTGAGGATCTTGATTGTTTGTTGTAACAAGGAACTTGGAGTGTAGCATCTCCACAACAAACATTGGCACACCCTCTGCAAACCCCACTCCATCCACCAGCATCTCAATGATTTGTTTGGTTGCTTGCACTCCGCGCTGGGCTGCCTCATTTGAATCCAAAAACCGGTTTTGTAACAAAACCTGCAACACAAGCGCCAGTCAGAACAGAATCAATGGTTCCTGTTTGCTTACTTAGCGACACGTTGCGGCGGGTTGGCTGGCTTTTCGTGATCGTCTGAAATCAATTCACTCACCCGAGCTCGGGTCACTGGCCCCAACAACCCAAGCAATGATTTGCACTTGGCCCAACCATGGTTCCTGTGAATCGAAGAAACTGCAAGAATACCTGAGGCGAAAACATGGAATCAACATAAAGTATCAACAAATATCAAAGGGAATAACATAAAGTATCAAAAAACAAATCCATCTAAGGAGATACCGATAATAATAGCTGTGCTGCAAGGTTGAACTAGCTTGCGTTTGTCTCCGCTATGCGCTGAATCGCAAAAGCTGAGGCTGACATCTGTCACATCAAGCCCCCTTGGGATGCGAACCAAAATGAACAAACCCCAACGCCACCATCACCACAACCACCACCACCACCTTTTCGTTGTGTTGTTAAAGTGTGATTGCTTCACTTTAAGTCAGGGATCCCAAAAAGCTCGTCTTCAACGGTCCGTTTGTGCTTGAGGACCTGCAGCTTGTCGGCGGACGCGTGCACATTGGGGAGTAGCACCAACAAGGCACAGGAGCTGTTCGCGTGGCACAGCGCTTTTGCTGCGTCCAAGCACTCATCCACAGCGATCGGGCCTGAGCGCTGATACTCCATGGTCAGCACAAGACATCAAAGCAAGTCCTCAAAGCAAATCCTCGCAAAAAGATATCCGTGGGCTCTTGCTGAGAGACGGCTTGAGGGCCACAATGACAGGTCCAAGACCAGAAGTGTTGGCCTTGAAACTCCACCATCACGGAGGAAAGCGTTGTATTTTGTTTGAATTGAAAACACCATGCATTGAGGCTTTAAGCCAAAGAGCAAAGCTCCACTTGAGTTGCTCTCAGACTGGAAAGTTAGCAAGTCTGCTTGGAGATCAGCCAGACAATTCAAAGATACAAAGCGATGCTTAGCCGTCATCAGTTTCTCAACTGCAGCCTTCCCCTTGTCATATCGAGTCTGGAGGAACTTGATGTCCATCAAGCCCTGGAGAACTTCAGGAGCAGATCAAACATTATAGTGACGGACAATCACTTAGAACAAATCGGTGAAAAATAAACAAGAAAATGGAGCTGCTAAACCCTAGACTTAGAACATGCAAAAACCTGACACTTAGAATCAGATCTAAACTGAACTGATTGTTGTAACAGAAGAAACCAACCCATAAAACAATGGTCTGTCCTGAGGATAACATCGCATGGGTGGTCCTGAGCGCCTTTACGTCGCCACCACTTGGAATCGATCTGATCTCGACGAAGGCCTGTGAGATGGAATTGCCCAGTGCAGGGTGAGAAACTTACAAACGGGTCGGTGGGCGTTTAAATTTGCCTGCGTCTTCGAAGCGCTGCAACAGGAACAGGTGAGGGGCACCAGGTCCCGCAATGCCCTTCAAGTGGTTGAAATGAAATCCAAGCTTCAAATATGTGGTCAAGGAAATAGCAAACGGAGCGCGAAAGAGCTGATTTTGATTCCTTCAGTAAAGTGAGGCTTGGGCCAGTCGCGAGTGGAATCTACTATGGTGACCTCCTTGTTTCGCTCGTGAGGGCGGACGCTAGTTGAGGACAGGTACTTTTCCAAGACTTGTCGGAATTGCTCGGGTACGTGTAGTTCTTGATGACGCTCAATCTCAACGGACAAGTTGGCAAAAAAACCCACCTCCATACATCTACAGATCTATATCGCACCTGCACATCCACACTGTCACTCCTTCAAGTCCACTCTCCCTTTCTCTCTTTCTATACATCTTTTCGACAGTGCTGGACAATCACATGTCTCGCTCTCGGGCCAACCGTCGTCTAGTTGTATACTATTTTAATGATATAATGAGGTAGAAGCATATGAGAAACAAGAAAAAGTGCAGTACCACAGTCCCCAGCTCGGGCCCTTTGCAATCGTTGCTTTCTCTCTCTTAAACCCAGTCTGAGGAGAGGTATGCTCAGTCCATCTGAGCACAACTTTCTGATAAAGCTGAAGGGGTACAGGTTGAGAAGTTGAGACTAAACATAGGCACTTTACGTCAGCGCTGCTGGCAATGTGAGACATAATTGAACAATGCAAGTTAATATCGGCAATCGAGAAGCTACACAAAGTGGCACGGGGAAAGCAGCATGCGCTCACCTTTTTGCGCATCAGTGGACAGCTGCGCCGTCGTCGACGTCTAAGTGCTCATCAAGAAGTGAAAGGTCAGCCAGTTCCGGCTCACTGTGCTCTCCAGGCATCAAGCCAGCTTCCTTCTTAAGGGATGCCAACAAGCTTTCAAATTCCTTGGTTGCGCGACAGTCCAGAACTTCGGGCGCCTGAAGGGAGTTCTGCAAACATGAAGACAACCTGGGGCAGGTGACTGCCTGCAATCAAGCCACCATGTTGGATTGCTCCATCCGAGCAGGTCTGGACAAACTGGCTTGCTGTGATTCGTTTTGCTGCTGCTTCTTGAGCCTCTGCCGCTCTCTCCTCAGGGCAAGTTAGGGTTTGTCCAGCAATCTTTCGTGCGAAGAGAGGAGGCCGAATATATATATATATAGTTTTTGAAGATTGAAGCTTGAACCACTTAGCCTTAAACTTTGAGATTGAAACTATTTGCATCCAGCATCTGTCGCTGTTTCCGTGTCTTCTGTTGCTCCACGTGAGCTGCCTAAGTGCAAACGGAGTTTTATATATATATACTTTGCATCAAACTTACATTGTTGGCAAATCACACAAAAGCGTGATACAGCAACGGATCAAACAGTAGCAGTTCTGAGCATAAAACCTCGGCAAAGCATATACACTATGCCGCATTCATTTGTCTGACTAGCAACTAGTTCTTTCCAACAATGTTTCTGTGTTCTCTGCCTTACACTGCCTTACAACATGAACGCCAGGGTGCATATTCCTGCCTTTCCGCCTCAGACGCCAACGGCTTTTCCACCGCTCTCTTCACTATGTCATCTTTTGCCCAGCGGTCAACTTCCTCCCATGGCAGAGTACCTACTCCTTCTTTCAACAAAGTGCCCTACCAAGGTAAAAAGCAAAGGAAGCATGTAAGGATCGAGCAACTCTGAGAACCCTTAAAAGCCCTTGCACCTTGTAGTGAGGTGACCACTTTTGTATGCCGATGATTGGCATGGCGGGAGCGATTCCATAGATGAGGAAAACCAACTCTGACATGGGCATGTAGCCGGTGGTGTATTTTTTCAGCATGTCACCCTTCAACTTCAGCTTCTGGATGTCGTGTTGCCGATTCCTGAGAACTCCTCAGCGTGCGAAACCACTCGACAACTCCTAGTCCACACAGTTCACGGTGATGCACCATGCCGTCAAGTCTCTGCTGAGATTTTCAAACCACCACTTGAATCGTGTGCGTTGCTCTTCGGGCAGCTTGCTTTTGTCTTCCCTACCAGAAAATGGTTTCAACATGTGCGATCTTTGCAACAAACGCAACAATGCTGGCATGGGCATCCTCAAAATTTGAGACGGGCTGTTTGTTTGCAATTTAAAGGTGATGCGGCGATGGGCCTGCCAACCCCTGAGGAGGAGAGCTGAATCCAAATCCAACCTCTTCCCAGTGAACGGAAAAGAGCCGCCCTTGATTCTGTCACAATGATCCTGAGTTGAAGAAACACACAGCAACACACACAAATCCTGTGCAAATCAAAGCGCGAACTGCTGCCACACATGTCCGCGTACACGTGGATGTGACTCACTAGCAATATATAGCTCCATCGAGGTCCATGCTGTCAAACTACGAGATGCTATTCTATAAGTCAGGATGAAGGAGCAAAGCAGAAGGTATGGCCTTGCATCCGGCCCACCATGATTACTTTGCCGTGCAGGTCTTCAACTGGTCAGGCCGGTGGTGAGGGAATAAGAAAAAAACTCACCTGGATCAAATTGTGTGGGCAAGGTTACGCTGCTGAATGAAAGGTGTTCCAAGCGGTCCTGTCCCTCGACATGAAAATTGCTCTTGTTGGACAGCATGGTTCGTCCCCCATTTGGGCGTGTCAAATCTTGGCATTTCCGTCATTCAGCCATTATGACAGGCCAAAGCTTGAAGGAGCCAAGCTGTGCATCGTCAGAGCTGCAGGTTGCGGCACACCACGTGACCAAAAGCAGCCGACTCTGGCTGGCAGGCATCATGATGCCATGATGCGACATCTTTCATTGTCTGACTTTTAGTCGCGCATTTATAACCATCAAGTAACCACTTCATCTTAAGTGGATTCATCTTGTTCTGACGACCGTCTTGTCTTGGTAGCATGCTTTGACAGTGGTAGGACTAGGATCCAATAAAGGGACCTGCCCCTCGTGACATGAGCCTCAGCATAAAATGGGAAAGAGCTTTGTATGTACAAGGAGCCTTGCTCTAAAGAAGCCTTGGCAGCCAAATAATAGGCGCCTCATCAAATCCCTTTGGACCATGCTAGAAGTGCACATTAAGAGACCTCCATGATTGTATGACGGCATAACTTGATGATGCATGGCGCCTAGTCCATAAAAGTATTCTCCTAACATCATTATACAGTAATTAGTAATTACAGTAGTTTGTGTAGAGAACGTTATCACTTCAAACTGCATCTGCCTCGCGTTGTCAATCACCATCGTGGCTTGGCTTGAGCAAGTCTACTCCAAGACGCTTTTCTGAACACATGTACTTGCCCAGCTTGGCTTAGACCCAGTAACTACCAATTGTGCTGGGTTGACTCCCTCACGGCATGCCACACCGAAAAAGAACTTGTGAATTCCTTAAACCAAAGTGGCCCAAAGTGAACCTGTGATTGCAAAGTGGCTTTAGCCAGTTGCTTCAGAAAATGCTGTGCTGTCCAAGAAGGACTCCAGTTTGTAGGCATGATTTTTGGAAGAAAGCCAGGAACTATCATAGCGAGCTTAGCGAACTATCTAGGGGCGGATTGGTGAGGAAGTGAGGACAATGAAGGAATAAAGGAAGGCAGTAGCAATCGAGGACAAAGTGGAATTTCCGTCAGGCGAACTCAAAAACCACGTGCAAGTTATCAAGCACTGCCCAGATTGGAACAAATTGAGCTAGGCCTGTTTCTTTCAGCAGCTACATGAACAACGTCATAGAAATAGGCACTGCTAATTAAGCCATAAAACATCCCGGAAAATTCTGGAGCACAGGTTGATGGAGCCTACCCTACCCTACCCTACCTAATGATGGGACATCGGTACACACACACACACAAACACCAAGCTAGCACACACTTTGCTTCTCGACTGATCCTCTGTCAAAATATCTGCATTCAGGTGTCTGTTTCGAGATCCAGTGGAATAGCACGCTCATCGCGTCATCAATCCAAGCATTGACCATCTCTTCATCACAGCGGCAGCTTCGGCTTCGCCCAAAAACTGCCTTGAGTTCAAGAATAAAGGGATAGCGGCCGCTGAGGCGGTTCTACCCTTTCAAAGTCCTTCAAAGTTCCACATGGTGTATGCAACAAACAAGGCTATATAAAGGCTCTGATATTCAGCATGAGATACTCTCATCTGCGCATTGAAGTTGATCCAGCGCGCTTCAGTGGAAGAGAAGGCAATCCAATCAGGATCAGGACCTCAAAGTCAATCAAAGCTACTATTACTGGGCTGGTGCTGAGGCATGTGCACTATCAGGTGAGGAAGAAATGATAGTACGGCAAGGTAGGGAGGTACATGGAGCCAGCTGAGGCGATCCAGTCGGATACAATTACTATATACATGTACAATTATGTGACAAGCTTCTTGGAACACCAATAGAACCACTCCAGCTTCACTGAGAAATGTTAACGCTGCCCAGAAACGCATGATCTCCTTCAAACGCTGGACATCTTCTCGGTCCAGCTCCAGGGATGGTTTTTCCTCTGGCGAATCATCTGCCGTTGCCATTGGCCGGAGTCCGACGCTGCAGCTGCCCAAATTAAATGTTGGCCTTTGTATACTTACAGCATTGTGTTTCTGGCCGTTTTGGATGCAAGCTTGTTGAGGCGGTGAGAAGCGATGGGAACCAAGCCATACACCAACTGGTGAAAAGTGGAACAAGCTGCTTGCTGCAATCGGCGGTGAAGAACCCTAAATGGCTTGAGCTTAACAGATTCGACACCATGAAGACTGGATGATCCAGCAACGACTGGCATTTTGCGATACGGATGCGGGTGGCAAATATGGGTGAGGGATCAAAAAGCAAAAACGATAACGATCGGCATCAAAACCCTCCAAGGAGGTCACAAAGAGAACAGGATGTACAACTTGTACAACACTTATTCTCAGCGTACTTGTGCAGATTTCGTGGAACACGCAGCACTTTGGGGACCTCAAAGTGGCCTTCGATGTGCAGATTTCGTAGCCATGCAGGTTTCATAGCAGGCACTGCCTTACACGCAAACTCCACGCAAAGAGCCCTTACACGGGCTCTCTGGGCCTCACCGGCCCGCGGGCTAGGGACCCAGCAAAAACAACACAGTTGTTATTCGTGCGACTCCTGCAAGTTTCGGAGGGCGTTTGGTGAGCCTCTAAAGTTCCTATGACCTCCACAACAAAAACTAGACCATGGGACCATGGGGTTGTGCGTAAGTTACACTAACTATAACCAGGTTTTTTGAAAGGAAGTCTACCAGCTTGCTCAAGAAGCATTGTTTGGCCAACATGGTGTGATCGACATGAGTGAGCCGTGTTGTTGAGGTTTCAGAGTTTGCTGAATGCAGAATACTATCCGCAAAGGAATTAGGACTCATGATGAGTTATGACTATCATGAGGTTGTAGTATGTGCTCCCAAGTCTTGACACATGTGACCTGCCAAAGATGGCAGGGAGCATTGAAAAGGCACATGAATAGGAGGTCGAGCTGGAAAACGCGCTGCCTGTTGGCTTCTCTCCAACCCCTACTTATCCTTTCCCCTTGGATGAATATAGATCTGATCAGCAAGTGTGTCCCGTTTGGTGGCTGCAGCAACTTAAAATTGTTTGAGCACACCACTGCTGGGCACACGCGCTGCCTAGTTTATAAGTCCAGGTGCAAGATAGGAGAAACAAACAGCAGGCAACTTGGCAAACACCCCTCAGTTACTTAGGGGTGCCCTTTTGCAGCTTGAAAATGCAGCTGGACCAAAAGAAAAAGGGCACCCGCTCGCCGCTCGACATGTCCTGCTCAATTCAACCTTTGTCCCTCCGGACTGTAAATGTCCCGCTCAACTCAACCTTTCTCCTGACGCATGGGCCCCGCCTATAACCACCAACAGTGAATGGGCCTTGATCAACACCTTGTGTATAAAGAGCCTATCATATCGACCTTCAATGCGAGACTTTTGCGCCTCTCTGCCTCCTATCTCTCCGTGCCTGACAGCAGTTGAAGTGCGCTGTCGGCTTCACCCCATAACCACATTGACGTCTTCTTACGGAGGCTGGTTTTCGTCCCTCCCTTCTTAAATTTTTGTTGCGATTTTAGTGAGCCTGGCATGTTTTGACAAGTAACAGTGCACAACCTTTGCGTTCCTGACAGTCTTGCAAACCTAAATTGAGTACAACTACATCGAGCAAAGATTACTGTTGTTATAGGGCGAAGTCGCGATTCCACTGACCTCTACTGCTGTTAGGCACGGGGAAATAGAAGGCAGAGAACGCAGAGTCTTGCAGTCAGGGTCGGTATGATAGGCTCTTTATACACAAGGCCTTGATCAAGGCCCATTCACTGCCACGCGTTAGAACAAAGGCGGAACCGAGAAGGACATTCACAGTTCGGGGGGCGGGCCTTCTTCTCTTGTTTCCAGGCCGTTTTCACACCAAAAAAAGGGCACCCCTCAACTGTTCTGGTGTTACATCTATGAGAAAGAGACTCTGGCTTGCACACATCCCTCCGCTTCTGTCCTCGGACTGGATGGGCGCACGTGGCTAGTCTGCTCCCTAAGTGTGGGATTCTTTTCGTACATTTCCTATCACGCAGCCATACGCAGTCTCCAACTCCCACCCTAGTCAATAGACATTTTTCCTGGTCTTTTGTTCTTTTTGAGCCTATTCCAGTCCAAGTTGTTCTTTGAATATATACAGTACTATTCTTTCTGATTTACATGGCGCAAATTCAACTGCTCCAAATGTACATTGCATTTTCCCACCCTTTCCGCATGATATGCCACTCATGCTCTACAGCTCGTCTTGAGCTGAACCCCACACCCTGCTACTCAAGGTGGTCTTGATCTCGGCTCTCGCCCAGTCACTTCACTTCACTTTGCTAACGGCCCCAACCGCAAAAGCTACCCGATCCACTAGCTCGTCCTTCGAACCTGTTGTTGGCCAGCCCTGTGACTTCAGCCAGCCAGACAGCAAAGCCTTGCTCTGCTTCCGCAACCAAGCACAAAGCTCACCACCTTGGTCACGCAAAGAGTGCGCAGTTGCTTCGAAGTCTCTCCGCTCTCGCGAGGACACTGCCGGCCCGCTTGGGGCAAGTCGTTTTGGCTTCTCTTCCTTCCTTGAGAGTTTACATACAGAACTTACCACCATCCGACTAAAAGTCAGCTGGATGGAGCTCCAGCTCGACTGACCCACCTCATTTTCAGCAGCCACACGAATTATCCCATGAGCTTGCTGGAAAAAGCTTGGTAACTTGCTTAGTTCTTCCTCTGCCAAATCGTAGGTTGTAAGCTCCTCGATGGTTGTGAAGCGTTTCAAGGTTTCATTGTACTCTGGCTCCAGGACGGTGATTGTAAGAGCCTGACCGTATGCTGGATCAAGTGCAGCCACTAAATATCTTCGGACTGGTGCAGCCAGTGAATTCATATCAGGAGTCCAGTCCAGTCTGATTCGGCGCCGGCCAGGGGCAGCGCACAAGACTGTGGAAGAAAGCCCCTGTGGTGGATTCGGTGGCTGTAGCTGTGAGAAGGCCTTTTCACAGAGCTGTTTTGCCTCCTGAAGGAGATCGATTGCTTGAGCTGCCTTTGGGCAGTTCCCAATGCGATCAGGATGCAGCTTCCGCATGAGAGAGCGAAAGGCCTGGTGAACCAAAGATACTTCATTGACACCGACTTGCAAGCCCAGAATGGCTTTGGCGCGCATCACCTCAGAGCAGAACTTCCTGTCTCGAAGTGGCAGAATGCGAGATATCTCTTGAGAAGCTTCCAGTTCACGGCATCGCCGAGCTGCATCCTAGCGCTCCGCATGTGACACATCCATCATGTGAACCTAACTCTACCCACATCAAGTCACTGGCAAAGAATGTGATGCATTTGTGCGTCTTGAACTTAACCGCCTACTACTCCTACTGGCTTGCTAATAAGAACGGGAAAAGGCTCGAGAACATTAAAATAAATGCTTAAAGGCTTGTCAACAAGATGAATTTGGAAAGCTAAACAACTTGCAGCAAAAGGCCGCTGTGCCGCTGCTCTCCAGGGCCAGGCTATCGCTGTGAAGCCTTCGTGCAACTTCCACCGAAATTACGGTATGCCATTCTTTCCGGCCAAACAGGAAGACATCACTCTACAGCAAGACATCAGTCTGCTCCTCCGCAAGCCAATTCCCGGACTTACTGGAGCATGAGGGCCAGCAGCCTGACAAACAAATTGTCAACTGATGTCACACAAGTTCTTGATATACAGCAGCCATTAAGTCTTACAATGCTAGGTGCAACATAATGCCATTCAGCTCACGGATAAAATACACAGCAAACGTTGCATTGATTTCTTGGCCTTAGAATCTGCACTGTCTGAGAAGCTCTTGGATCCACCTTGCTTTCAAGCAAAACTTTTCGCGAAAGCTGCACTGGACACCATGTTGCCGAATCTTCAGTCAATGACTGTTGGTGACGGAGCGAGGCCGCGACTTCGAGGTGTCCGCAAGGGGCTTTGTCTGCAAGGGGAGGCAACAGGTGTATCAAACGAGATCCTTCTTGTTGTCGCCGCTGGTGGAGACGGGCAGCTTCGGAAGAAAAGCTTCTGCTGAGTGTTCACCTCGCGTAATCCTTTCTTCAGGTGGTCCGGCACCTGCCAGGCGCTAGGTGCTGGTCATTAAGATGCGCACAAGCTGCACATGGCAAGGAAGGATGGAACAGTGAGCATGTGCAAACTACGCGATACGTGTGCCACAGACAAGCATCTGAATGTCCAAAACTCTACCCTTCATGATACCATATTATTGAACTGCACAAACGCACTTAACAGAAGTCGAATGGGGAGAGAATTGAGTCAAGCAAAAAGCCGCTAAAGTCAACGTATTGAGTCAAGCACACGCCGCAAGCACACGCTGCAAAGTCAATGGATTGAGTCAAGCACACCGCAAGCACACGCTGCAAAGTCAATGGATTGAGTCAAGCACGAGCCGCGAAGTCAATGGGGACATGTTTTCACCGCTCTACACCTGCAAATCTATCCCATGGGCCCAGTCTACGACACCTCACAAGCAGCAAAGGCACCTTGAGTCTCGACTTGGATGGTGACTGTTCTGACTCGGAAGGTGGCTCAGCCCCCCTTGCTGCCAAACGCTGTCGCAAGGATGGTGCAGAGGGCTGTGAAGCAGCCTGGTAAACAAAACCATTGCGACCGCTCATGACAGCAATCAGAAAACCCCAAATAAAGGCTAACCACACTGCTCGACACCAAGGTTCCCACAAGTCTGCGCAGTTTTGCAGGTGGCTCACATGGTGTACTCTCCACCTTTGTCAATGAATGCCATGAATGCACCCTCGTTTGAACTATGCTCAAAGCCTCAGGTTCAACTCCTTCAGCATCACTGCCAGTGCGGAAGTGGCCGCCACTGCCTGGCCCCGAAATACATAGAAAAATTAGAAAGACCGTGTGGATATATATAGCCCAAATGATGTCATATATATAGAGAGATATATATATATACACTACTAAGTACACTACTATATAGCCCAATGGACTCATTGACTTCACCGGGATACATGCAAGCAGGGGTCAGTTCGGATCCTCCACCTCCACGTGGTGGCCCTGGGCCCTCCTTGACGGAGGGTGCGAAGTTAGACTAACAATAAAGCTTTCTAGTGACTAGAAGCCACTAGGTGGAGGCCATGGCTATTAGGTTGGAGGCCATCGCTGCTAGTAACAATAAAGCTTTCTAGTACCTAGTTACCTGGCTCCTGGGGGAGCAACGTATGAGGGCGCCTGCCTGGCGTTGGTCGCATGCTTGGTGCCGGATAGGAACGAGCGCCCGCGTGGGGCTGACAAGTCCAAGATGCTGCTGTTCGTTTTCTTCATGGGTGTTCTCTATGTAGTTCCTCTCTCGAAGTGCAGGTGGTCGATTTCAAGGAAATCCTCTACGGCTTGCATCTCTTTTTTGCAGAAAAAGGTTGATGATTAGGCTGTGGTTCGTCTACAGCAAGAGCTCTATAATCGTGGGTTAGTCTTTTCGGGCCTTCATACTTGTGGTCCTGTCGTGGACAAACCTCACGTGTCGTGCCCCATCCCTTCTTTAAGTGGGCCAGTTCGCTTCCCTTCCCCTTTTGAGGGGGCCGTGCTTGCTGTTCAGGGCTTGGTCTGCTGATAGCTACAGCACCTACAACTCCATATACGTATAATAATGATTAAAATACACCTGAGGAGGGGGAGGGCGAAAGCCAGCTGTTTTTCCGACGGCGGCTGCAGGGCTGAGGTCGGGGATCGTCGCGGTCAGGGACCGCCGGCCGCTGCATCCAGAGAAGGTTCGGGAGAAGGTACCGGGGCAGGTCCATGAGGTTCTGGAGAAGGTTCGGGGGCAGGTTCCAAAGCAGACAAGGCTCCAGAGGAGGGTGTGGACAGCGAAGAGATTTTCCGAGTCACGCTTCATGCTGTTGGGGACTTTGCTTGGGCTTTTGCCACTGATCCGCCCAAAATATAACCATACTTCGCAGCTACACCTCTCTTCCCAGAGACATAGAGACACAGAACCATAGAGACAAAGAGACACAGAGTCATAAAACACAGAGACCTAAAACACAGAGAAGTTGCTATCTACAGGGGGTCCTTTTCCGATAGCAACTTGTCGCTGCCAACCAACTACCATACTTGCCCCAATACATCCAACCAAACTTCTCTGACAGGATGACTAGGAGGATGGCAGGAACTATATGTCTCAGCATTGGTGTCACCAACCGTGATCTAAAAATATGGCATAGATCCGTGACTATAACCAATCCTTAAACAGCAAGCTCTTCACCCCACCAAGTTGCTATCTACACGGGCCCCTTTTCTGATAGTGACTTGTCGCTGCCAACCATCTACCATACTTGCCCCAATACATCCAACCAGTTCCATTTGGAAGCAATCATCAAGTACTTTTGCACGTCATAAACATTACGACAAAATCTTTCGGACAAGTACTGTTGCGACCAAATTCCGTCACAAAGCCTCCAGCCACTATATAGACTAGGGTATGTTTTACCTGCTTTGCCGGCCCAGTCAATACCATCTAAGCTCGAAACGGCTACATGGTTCCACAACAGCCAATGGCCAAACCGTGCATTGACTGTATTGACCCGAAAAGTCGAGCCACCACTGTGAACATAGCCGCACAGCCGTTACTGCACAGCCATTATTGAACCAAGCGTTTGACACTTCAGGTCAACCACGTTCAAGTTGGTATGGGACTTCCAACGTTGGTGGATAAACTCCTGCACCAGCCAGTCTGGGACACGGTTTCGGCCAAGACTGCACTGCTTATCTATCTATCTATCTATCTATCGATCTATCGATCTATCCTGTACTATCTAGCTGCGCGGCCAAGCCGGAACAATGTTCGGTGCACGTGGACGCCGCGAGAAGCATCCGCTCGACGGTACAGGTGTAGTAGAGACTAGGGTGGTTGCTCTGTACATGGGTGCCTGTCTCCACTCCAGTGCTCAATGCCCATTGTCCAAATAGCCTCCACAGCCCTTCGTGATGCTAATGATGCGCTACTCGGCGTCCATTGCATCACTCGCATCACCAGACCCCATTTTCACTGCTTTTCTGACCCTCGCTTTGGAGCGCTCTCCCCAGGCAAGCTCCGGGTTCACCCTCTCAAATGGTGCCTTTTCGCGGCCTACCCCCCCCCCCCACACCCCTTAACTCACTTCGTTCGGTCTAAGAGCTCAAGCCTAGCCTATCGGCTGGCTTTCGTAGTATATGGATACATGTAAGCAGTCATGCCTTAGCTGCCAACCGACGTCGCCCTTTTATTACCTAACACCTTTGATTTGAAAACAGGTGGCCCGAACATGCTGCACCAAAGGGTGATCACATCCTTTGACATAAGTGCGCTGGTGATGTCAAATTGTTGCGTCTACTACTTGGTCACCCGGATCAGAATCCAGAATCATATGGGGCCAGGCCAACTTCTTCTTGGCTCAGCTGCATGGTAACATCTTGAGGTAGATTCACGGAACAGGTGCGCCAGCGAATCGTAAGCCAACGTGAACTAGTAGATGGACGGTTGCTGTAATCGGGTGAGCTACAGTAACTAAATGGCGAGCTTAATCCATCATTCATTTGATTCTATGGTGAAATGGTAAGTAGAAATGAACAGCTAGCCCAATCCCGAGCGGGTTCATGGCGAGCATTGCCGTCCTCCTGAAACAAACCGCGAAAACCAGACGCAACCAGAGTAGGGCAGTCCTCATGCCCTAGAATTGGATAGCTGAGGTGTTCCTCTCCGTGTTCTGTGTTTCTTCCCTCTCATGCTTGATGTGCCCGAGCGCCAACGCAATGCAAACCATGCGTGTAACCGATGTATCGTCATCATGTCCTCATTCATCTTCTCCGTCAATTCTTCTTTATCAGTTTGCTCATCTTGTTTCATCATTGTTTCATATTATACATGTTCATCTTCATCATCACCTTATGTTGTCTTCTTATTTGTCTTCTTCTTCTTATTGTTATGTTTATGTTCTTCTTAGTATTACTACTATTATCATTACTAGTATTACTATTATTTTTCTTATTCATATTCTTCTGCTTCTCCTTCTTCTCCTTCTTCTCCTTCTTCTCCTT